CAGCATAGCTGGCTGGCTGGGGAATTCTGGGAGTTGAAGTCCACATATCTTAAACTTGCTAAGGTTGAGAAACACTGCTATGGACGTTCAGTCAGCTGTGTGGAGAACATCATAAGCACCATGGTCTCAGGCAGAAAAATGTCTTGAGTCATCCTGGTTGGAGGATACACATGAGTCCAGCTTTGTGTGAATGAACAGATGAAGAGATGTGTCTGATCCAGCCAGGAAAATAACCATGTTCTCCATTCTTTCTCATTCCAGAGCTTTCCAGAAAACAACCCTGAGGGTAACAACCTAACAGCCTATGGCCTTGCATGGGTGGGTGGGGACAATCGGATGGTGGAGGAGAAAGATCAAAGCAAAAATCATTTTTGTAACTGCAAGAGTTGCCTTATCTGAGCAGCCCCTTCCACCACTTCTGCAGGTTTGCAGAAATATCACTGCCCAGATACATCTCCCAGATTATTCCTATTGCCCTCTTGACACAACTCATTTGTTCTGCAAATCCATGCCTTCCAGTCTGCCTGTAATGGTCTGGGGGAATGACCTAGGGAGACAGGAGGAAGAGCAGGCTAGGCCACAGTCAGATAAGAGGCAGCTGAGCCCCCAGAAGCAATGGAGGCATGGAAAACATCTCAAAAGGGACCCTCCCTAGTTTCTTGGGCTGTGAAGGTGAGCGGGGAGAGATGTCCTTTCAGACTTGCAAGATTCTGTGAATGTAACCTTACAATAAAGATATAGGACTACTTTGCAAAGTTGGCACTGTCATTGTTGAGAAAATATAAATCTATAGGTGGGGAGATGTGCAGGGAAAAGTTGTGGCCAGAAAGAAATACTTGAACCCTGAAGTGGACTGCTGAGTCCAACCCACCACTTTTTTACAAAAAAAAAAAAATCCCTATTCTACATTTCTCTCTGTTCCAGAAATGAATTGTGGTAGAACTCTCCAGGAGAAATTTCTTTACAGTACTTGCCTTTTTGAATGGACATTCAGTGACTGCTTGAAATTATTTACCATTTTTAGAAAATGCAAACAAACACCCTCATCTCCCCCTCAAATTGATAAAAATATACAATGATTTTACAAAGAAACTCAAGTGCGTAGTGATGATACAAGGAAACTCAAGGGCATAGCACTGATTATAAAAAGCTCTTGGAATCATTCCAAACAGTCACAACTTGTTGGTCCATGAAAGAAAATACAGTAAAATGCACAGCTGGGTGAAACCTTTATTAGGAACAATCAAAATGACAGAACATCATGCAAGCTTTCAAACCATTCAGAAGTCATTGGCAGTGGGTCCAGGACATGCTAGCAGGTGCATTCACCCAACAAACTGAGCTTGGTTCAGATTTCTGTGACTTAGTATACTATATAAACCTGGCCTGCTCTGTGTTAATTTATGATTCCATGCATTATATGTACCCAGAAGATGGATTTGTTGAGGAAGCATCTTAAGTATGTTGTGTAAACACAACTACTGTGTTTTGGCCATAATGCAATGAGTTTAATTATCGATTGGACAGAGGCACAATTCATGCTGTGATGCAACTCTGCGGACCCATGATATGCTGTTTTTTGTTTTTTTTTTCAGGTAGGTGCCTCAAAACGGATATCCTTCCAGAGGTGAGCATAAAGATGCTTGGCTGGGTTACTGTTCCCTTGAACGTAGAGAAAGTTAGAAAGTTGAACTTCCCTACTCCCTGGATGGTCAAACATACAGAAGGAAGGGAGATAGTGTGAAGAGCTACCACTGCAGAATAGGGATGGGCAGGCTTCAGATTTGCTGGATCTGGGTTTTTATTTTATGTTCTTACTACCATCCTAAAATCCAGCAAATGTCACACACTTTGTGCAGTCCAGGACAACCAGCTTCTACTCTGCAACCCCTTGTTCTACAACTATGGACATCTCTAGCCAAGGATCCAGTTGAGAGAGGCTAATTGACTATATTTAAAGGGACAGGAGGATAGCACTGAATTCATTTTTTATTGATTGATTAGATTTATACCCCATTTCTCCCTCCAAGCAGCAAATGTAGTCCTCCTTCCTCCAGTTCCACCCCCCAAATAACAGCCCTGTGAGATAGGGGGATTTGAGAGAAAGAGAGAGTCATCCAAAGCTAAGGATGACTTTGAACTTGGGTCTTTCTGATTTTAAGCCAGCAACATAACCACAGCTCTACACTGGCTCTTATACTGCTGTCAGTCTTGAAGAGTCAGAAATCCTGGTGGATCTGTTGCAAAGCACCCAAATCTCTATCAGTCCATTCAAACTGACCTCTTGCCTTGGGTTGTTAAAACAGCAAAAAGTTCTGCAGCTCCTAAAAGATGATGATACTTATAATGGCTTGTTAAGATTGGAAAGACCCAAGTGGGCTTTATTCAATGCATTTCACAAACGCAGGGAGAGATCTTTTAATTTCCACTTGCACTGGGCCCCCCTCCAAGAAGCAAAGAGTGGAATATACGGGGTTGCTGGGGATCTCCACCTACAACGTTGCCAGGTAGCTTCTTCTCTTGTCCTCACTCCTGCACCAAAATCTGAAACGCACGGGTTGGGATTGTGGTAGAGGTGGAAGACGATGGGGCAGAGCAGAAGAGTCAGGATGGTTTGTTCGGAAAAGGGGAGCACCCCTCATCCTGCATTTATCTGCTTCATGAGCACTGTTATGTTTCTGCAGGATCCCAATATGAAAAATGCAGCGTGGTATGCAGGTAGTTGTGACCGACGTACGGCTGAAGCGGCTCTCCTCCAATTTAATAAGGTAGTGTGGCCCTGTTTTATGGACAGGAAACAGAGCTTGTGGCCAACTTACTTTGTGGTCTGGCTGTTGCAGAATAGAGATTTCCCACCCGTTCCTCAGACCTCCATTCTGAGCATCGGGATGGGACCCAGTGAATCCAAGGACAGACTCTCTCAGAGTTCTATCGGTAATATTTATTCGAAGAATCAATCATTCGTGATTAAAAAAGGGATGGGTAACATGTATTAGAAGGAAAGGTAACATTACAAGAATTCCAGCAAGCGCTTTGCTTTCAAATGAGGCACCTTCACATAGGCGATCGAGGGCAGCGAAACCCTTGCCTGTTTTCTCATGCTCTGATGATGGAGGGGGCGAACGCTTGGCACTTATCTATATTTTTTTTACTCAGCTTTTTTGTTGAAGAATGTATCCACAGAATAAAAACAGTACAAATGTAAAGAAGAAAAAAGAAAAGTCTCCACTTTTCTTTTTTCTTCTTTACATTTGTACTGTTTTTATTCTGTGGATACATTCTTCAACGGTGATAAGTAAATAAGGAAGAAATTTTAAAAAGACAGAAAAGAAGGAAAAGTCGCTTTGTGTGAGGTGGGCGGCTATATAAATGTGGCAAATTAATAAATAAATAAAAGGAAAACGAAACAAAAGATATAAAGAAGCGGTTTCCGGTCTTCTTTACAGCAATTATAAATGCATTTATATTTTATCCTCTCTCTCTAAAGTTATATCATGGCTCCCTTCTTTCCATATTCTACCCTTTCTAGTCATCAAACTCATAAATCACAAGTTCGTTTTTTTCCCGTTTTCAGCAAAAAGTCCATAAAAGGTTTCCAGTCGCTGACAAACATGATTGTTGTCTTGAAGCTCTCCGCTTATCTACAGGCAGTGCAGTCTGCAACTCTGTTCTTTTGGCATCTGCTGCTAAATTTTGTGGCATCTCTTACCCTCGCAGCAGCTTATCCTCAGATCAGTCAAAGAGGCCCTTCTCTACAACAGAGGCTGAAGTGGTTACCTCTTGGCAGTCTTCCTTCAATGGATTAGGGCCTTCCTAAATTATCTCTTGCATCAACTCTATCTTATCAAGCAACTACTTTTTGCTTGCTTCTGTGTTTCCTTTTAAACGATTGCACTGGTCTTGACTGTTTGTCAGCCATCCGGAGTGGGGCAGAGGTAAGGGCTGAACCTGGTAAAGTGGGAAGCAGCAGATCCCAAGCCTGGAGAATGATTTCATCCACCTCCCTCCCAGCAAGAGGCCAGCCAATTATCTATTAACTCAGAGCGGAGGGAGGAAAAAGCCTGCTGTTTAAACTCTGGAGCCCAGCTATACAGTACTGTGCAGAGGTTTTAGGCAGGTGTGAAAAAATGCTGTAAAGTAAAAGCACTAGAATGGAGGGGTATATGGTTTTAGGCAAATAAAAGACATTTTTCAAATCTTGCTAAGTGACTGTTGTGTGATCAGGAGAGGTGAGGGATGTACAGCAGCCAAACCCTACAGCAGTGTTTTTCAACCTTGGCAACTTTTAGGTGTGTGGACTTCAACTCCCAGAATTCCCCAGCCAG